TGTTTTGGTTTTGAGTGCAGGTTTTTTTGGTACATAATTGGTTCCTATGCAGTTATGTAACAAAACAAAAAAATCTACATTTGTAAGTTACACGTTCATGATAGAGATTGTACTACAGTACTTGTATGAGGTGAATTGAAAAATACTATTTCTTTTATTTATCATTTTTACAGTGCAAATATTTATATTCAAAAATAAAGTGATCACTGTACACTTCGTATTCTGTGTTGTAATAGAAATCAATATATTTGAAAATGTAGAAGAACATCCAAAATATTTAATAAATTTCAATTGGTATTCTATTGTTTAACAGTGCAATTAATCGCGATTAATTTCTTTTAATCACAGTTAATTTTTGAGTTACTCATGAGTTAGCTGCGATTAATCGACATCCCTAAATATAATATTTTAAAAGTAATATTACATTAAATTACAAAAGTCTACATGAAATAAATTGAAACAATAATATTGAAATGAAACATTTTTTATCTTATTTAAATTTAACATTATCAAAACAAAATGAAAAAGTCAAAACTATGTTTGGATATTGTGCTGTCAAAAATTTCATTTCAAATTGACACATTCCCACAAAACATTTAGACTTCAACTAACCTGTTTTTTGTTTTGGGGTTTTTTTTACTTATGGAAAACTGTTTTTTTTTTTTTTGACAGCTCTAAATATAAGCTCTTAAGGATTCAAGGATTAAGTTAATAGTTATTCATTATAATAGCTATTGTAATCCACACTGGCAGAGTGTATGTCTTTGTCCTTCAATTGCAGTTAGACCAGTTTAGAAGTCAACTGCTGCCCAAATGACCTTTTATATCAATAATATTGTCACTTTTAGACAATTGCAACACATCTTGTATAAAGACAGGTTTCAGAGTAACAGCCGTGTTAGTCTGTATTCGCAAAAAGAAAAGGAGTACTTGTGGCACCTTAGAGACTAACCAATTTATTTGAGCATGAGCTTTCGTGAGCTACAGCTCACTTCATCGGATGCATACCGTGGAAGTGAGCTGTAGCTCACGAAAGCTCATGCTCAAATAAATTGGTTAGTCTCTAAGGTGCCACAAGTACTCCTTTTCATCTTGTATAAAGTATATTATGTAAGGTGTCAATGGAAAAGTTAGGAGTTGCTAAATAAAGTTATCCTGTTTAAATCCATATATCATCACTGTATCTGAAGTTATTAATATTGACTATTTATCTGCATCTTAAATTTGTTTGTTCCTGGGGGACCAAAACACATGGTAGTTTACATTCAGTCTCGCCAGCACATTGTGAATGGACTATTCAAGTTTGAAGGCCCATTAAGGACACTCCACTCTACCAATGGGCCATAGAAGAAAGTCATTCTGCCCAGATAGATCTTTCGGTGGATGCCTCAGCAGGGATATGGGCAATGGCGGCCCCTATGAGTCATCAAGCCATATGAGGATAGGGCTGTCCCTACCCATAAAAGTAAGCAGCTGTGTAGGGCACCAGGAAATTTGGGGCACCAGGTGCTTGCTGCTCCAGCCCCTGCTCCACCTCTTCCCACCATTGCTCTGCCCCAGCCTGATCTGCCCTGCCCCACCCCACCCCTTTGCCAAAGCCCCCGCCCCTGCTCTGCCCCATACCTTTCTGCCCCTCCTCTGCCCCAGCCCCACTCCCCTGAGGACTGCAGCAGGGCTGGGCCTGCACTCACCAGCAGTGTGAAGTGCAGCGACCTAGCCCCAGCCCCTGCCCCCCAAGCCTGCTCCTGCCCCCCACAGAGGCCTGGGGCCATTTCCCCACCACCACATTGCAGAGGCCTGGCCCTATGGGGGGGGGGGGGCGGAGGAGAGGCTGTGTAAGGCCCCAGAATGGCTAGGGATGGCTCTGTGTGAGGACATGTGATATGCTCATGTGACCCTGGACTCCATCTTGTGCCAGTAACTTTCCACAAACTGGGTGGTGAGTTTTGTTTGAAACATCAGAGGGGTAGCCGTGTTAGTCTGTATCCACAAAAACGAGTTCGGTGACACCTTAAAGACTGACAGATTTATTTGTGCATAAGCTTTCGTGGGTAAAAGACCCACTTCTTCAGATGCATGGAGTAAACTTCCGTGGGTAAAAACCCACTGCTTCATGCCCAAATAAATCTGTTAATCTTTAAGGAGCCACCAAACTCCTCGTTGTTTTTGTTTGAAACAGAAGATTTCCAGGCACATGGCAAAGGGTATAAAAGACCCCCTGGGATGACTCCATTTTGTTTCTTTCCTGCCCTGATTATCTGAACTGTGGATTTACAGCCAAAAGCAGCATATTGATATGTGGACTGAGGACCCTCCAAATCTTTTTGGAATTTACCAGAGTGACTTTATAAACCAGCAGTTTATTCCATGACTGCTACAAACCTGATATAAGGACCATTATTAACTCTCTTCTTGTCTTCTTTTATTAATAAACCTTTAGATTTTAGTTACTAAAGGATTGGCAGCAGTGTGGTTATTGGTAAGATCTGAGTTGTATATTGACCTGGCTAAATGGCTGATCTCTTGGGATTAGAAGGCCCCTATATGTGATTAAATTGGTTCTCAGTAAGCACTCATCATAGATTACAGCATCTGGGTGGTGAAATAAGAGCTGGAATGCCTAAAGCGACTGCAATTTTGACTTATTAACCAATGTGGTGAGACAGAAGTTTACTTTTGTTACTGGCTTGGTATAATCTGATAGAATAATCACCAGTTTGGGGTGAGTCCGCCCTATTTCTCAGCCATTTGTCCTGAATCTGCTATTCTCAGCTGTGGCCCACTGAGGCATGGTGACAATTGGTGTAGACTGGTTAGGATCCACAGAACCAGATCATTTAAGCTTTGGACCAGAACCCCATGCTATTCAAAAATATTTAATTTTGATATTGAGAGTTTTAAGGGTTAAAGATTAGTTACAATGAGTGAGCCAAAATCATTTGAAGGTCTTGACAGAGAAGCCCTTGAAGATTTGTGGTTTCAAAAGGGGTTATCCTTTAAGAAGAAAGCAGATTTTTCAGTTCTTGAACTGGGGCTAATGGCCAGTGATCTGAAATCAGGGGCTCCACCCAGACCTACCCCAGAAGCAGTTACAGCAGAAGCAATTAGAATGCAAAAGCTAGCAGACAAGAAACAGTGGGAGCACGAAAAAGAAATGCTAGAACTTCGATTAAGGGAGAAAACAAAACAAAAAATCACTGAAAGGAAAAAAGAAGCTGAGGAAAGAGAAAAAGCTGTTCATCAAAGATGCATGGAACAGCTGCAAGCTGAGAGAGAAGCACATCAAAAAAAGCTACCAACCTTCAGCTCCAAATCCTGGAAGAGCAAAAGAATCTGCCACAGCCTGAAACTCCATCTCCCCTCCACAACAGCAAAAATTGAGAGAGGATTTTGTGCCATTTATAAAGACACTGAAGATAGAGAGGATTTTTTGTCTACCTTTGAACACCTGTGGAGTCTTCACAAAGTTCCAGATGAGCAGTGAACGCCTGTCCTGCTATCCAGATTGACTGGAAAAGCTAGAGAGGTATTTAAGAAATTAGGGTATCAAGTGGCTTTGGATTATATGATGTTTAAAGATTCTGTGTTAAAGCGATTCAAGGTCACTCCTGAATCTCAGATTAAAAATTTGAAATGTTAAAATGTCTAATGATTGTACTTTTGTGGAATGTGCTCATAAATTAATGGGTTTTGTTAAAAATGGATTGTGGGAGCAAAATCTTATGGAAGTTTTGAAAAACTTTTGGATTAATTACTTTGGAACAAGTATTGAACATTGCTCCTGAAAATATTCAAGCAGCTATCTGTGATAAAGAACCTGATTCAGCCTTAAAGGCCGCAGAAATTGCTGATGCTTATCCAGAGAACAGAAATCATGAAAAGTCTAAACCTCAATTTGAAAGGAGTGAAGGGTTTAAAAGTAGGTCTAGCTCTAGTTCTGTTAGAAAAGCTCATGGGAGCCCAAAACATAAAAACTCTTACTCTAAGGGGAGACAAGCCTAGGCATATCAAGACAGATTGTCCAAATCTGAGAAATAAACCAAAACCACTACCCACCATAAATTCTAATTCTATAAGCATGGAAGGGGACCAAATAAACCCCAACACTGCCAACTTGTGTGCAAAAGCTGTTACTGTGGTCTCAGAAGGAGTTAGCTTTAACGTGTGTCATGAGGCTAAGTATGGGAATAATAATAAGGAATTCTTTAGCAGTGCAGAAATTAATGGAAAAAGGTGTTTGGCATGGAGGGACACCACAGCTGATATGACTTTAGTTAAAGCAGGTCTGGTCAGGGAGAAAGATTATCTACCAGATGAGAGTGTGACTGTTGTAGCTTTCTCTGAGTATTTTTTGAAAGTGGCTTTGGCTAAAATCCACCTTAAGGAGAAGGAATTTGATGATGTTATGATAGTTGGTATCAGAATTCAATTCCTGCAGATATTTTGATTGGAAATGATATTAAAGTTATGTTCAGTCATGTTAATATCATAACCCAGTCACAGGAGAAGTATGAATGTATTCCCTATGCCTTACCTGCTACGGGTGTGGAGAACTGTGACAAGGAAGGAAATGTTCCTAAGCCTGTGTCAGTTAGGGATAATGACTTGTCTGTTGAGAAAGCTAACCCACTCTACAAGCTTTTGTCTGTAAGCAGCCATGTGTGCTGGGACAAAGGAGAGGATATTTGTTGAGAATAACAGTGTGCCTGATGAGGAAGAGTTTATCACAGTCTTTTATTGATTGGGGAAGACAGAGAGAAGAAGTGGCAAAGATTCTTGTGGCAGAAGTGTGAGCAAACAGAAGGCGTCTCTCTCAGCTTAGGCTGGTGGAGGCTTTGTCTGTTCTTTCAAGGGTGATTCCAGACTTAATTGAAGCATAAAGAGTCTGTTTCTGCTCAGGAAAATATTTCTTTGGAGCAAGCCCTAGCTGGGGAGGGTGGATAAGCACCTAAGTCTCATTTCAAAATTATTTAAGCACTTAGCCCTGGACTACACTAGGACTTTAGGTCGAATTTAGCAGCGTTAAATCGATTTAAACCTGCACCCGTCCACACAATGAAGCCCTTTATTTCGACTTAAAGGGCTCTTAAAATCGATTTCCTTACTCCACCCCTGACAAGTGGATTAGCGCTTAAATCGAAGTTGCTGGCTCGAATTTGGGGTACTGTGGACACAATTCGATGGTATTGGCCTCCGGGAGCTATCCCAGAGTGCTCCATTCTGACCGCTCTGGACTGCGCTCTCAACTCAGATGCACTGGCCAGGTAGACAGGAAAAGAACCGCGAACTTTTGAATCTCATTTCCTGTTTGGCCAGCGTGGCAAGCTGCAGGTGACCATGCAGAGCTCATCAGCACAGGTGACCATGATGGAGTCCCAGAATCGCAAAAGAGCTCCAGCATGGACTGAACGGGAGGTACGGGATCTGATCGCTGTTTGGGGAGAGGAATCCGTGCTATCAGAACTCCGTTCCAGTTTTCGAAATGCCAAAACCTTTCTGAAAATCTCCCAGGGCATGAAGGACAGAGGCCATAACAGGGACCCGAAGCAGTGCCGCGTGAAACTGAAGGAGCTGAGGCAAGCCTACCAGAAAACCAGAGAGGCGTACAGCCGCTCTGGGTCAAAGCCCCAAACATGCCGCTTCTATGATGAGCTGCATGCCATTTTAGGGGGTTCAGCCACCACTACCCCAGCCGTGTTGTTTGACTCCTTCAATGGAGATGGAGGCAATACAGAAGTAGGTTTTGGGGACGAAGAAGATGATGATGAGGAGGTTGTAGATAGCTCACAGCAAGCAAGCAGAGAAACCGGTTTTCCCGACAGCCAGGAACTGTTTCTCACCCTAGACCTGGAGCCAGTACCCCCCGAACTCACCCAAGGCTGCCTCCTGGACTCAGCAGGCGGAGAAGGGACCTCTGGTGAGTGTACCTTTTAAAATGCTATACATGGTTTAAAAGCAAGCATGTGAAAGGATTACTTTGCCCTGGCATTTGCGGTTCTGCCTTTGCAAAAGGTTTCTGGGGAGGGCAGCCTTATTTCGTCCTTCATGGTAGGACACTTTACCACTCCAGGCCAGCAACACGTACTGGGGAATCACTGTAGAACAAAGCATTGCAGTGTATGTTTGCTGGCATTCAACCAAAATCCGTTCACGCGGTGGGAGGAGGCAAAATGCGACCTTGTAACGAAAGCACATGTGCTATGTATGTAATGTTAACAGCAAGGTTTACCCTGAAAGAGTGTAGCGACTGTTTTATAAAATGTGTCTTTTTAAATACCGCTGTCCCTTTTTTTTCTCCACCAGCTGCATGTGTTTCAATGATCACAGGATCTTCTCCTTCCCAGAGGCTAGTGAAGCTTAGAAAGAAAAAAAAAACGCACTCGTGATGAAATGTTCTCCGAGCTCATGCTGTCCTCCCACACTGACAGAGCACAGACGAATGCGTGGAGGCAAATAATGTCAGAGTGCAGGAAAGCACAAAATGACCGGGAGGAGAGGTGGAGGGCTGAAGAGAGTAAGTGGCGGGCTGAAGAGAGTAAGTGGCGGGCTGAAGACAGGGCTGAAGCTCAAAGGTGGCGGCAGCGTGATGAGAGGAGGCAGGATTCAATGCTGAGGCTGCTGCAGGACCAAACCAGTATGCTCCAGTGTATGGTTGAGCTGCAGCAAAGGCAGCTGGAGCACAGACTGCCACTGCAGCCCCTCTGTAACCAACCGCCCTCCTCCCCAAGTTCCATAGCCTCCACACCCAGACGCCCAAGAACGCGGTGGGGGGGCCTCCGGCCAACCAGCCACTCCACCACAGAGGATTGCCCAAAAAAAAGAAGGCTGTCATTCAATAAATTTTAAAGTTGTAAACTTTTAAAGTGCTGTGCTTAAAGTGCTGTGTGGCATTTTCCTTCCCTCCTCCACCACCCCTCCTGGGATATCTTGGTAGTCATCCCCCTATTTGTGTGATGAATGAATAACGAATGCATGACTGTGAAGCAGCAATGACTTTATTGGCTCTGCAAGCAATGATTAAAGGGAGGAGGGGAGGGTGGTTAGCTTACAGGGAAGTAGAGTGAACCAAGGGGTGGGGGGGTTCATCAAGGAGAAACAAACAGAACTTTCACACCGTAGCCTGGCCAGTCATGAAACTGGTTTTCAAAGCTTCTCTGATGCGTACCGCGCCCTCCTCTGCTCTTCTAACCGCCCTGGTGTCTGGCTGCGCGTAACCAGCAGCCAGGCGATTTGCCTCAACCTCCCACCCCGCCATAAATGTCTCCCCCTTACTCTCACAGATATTGTGGAGCACACAGCAAGCAGTAATAACAGTGGGAATATTGGTTTCGCTGAGGTCTAAGCGAGTCAGTAAACTGCGCCAGCGTGCCTTTAAACGTCCAAATGCACATTCTACCACCATTCTGCACTTGCTCAGCCTGTAGTTGAACAGCTCCTGACCACTGTCCAGGCTGCCTGTGTACGGCTTCATGAGCCATGGCATTAAGGGGTAGGCTGGGTCCCCAAGGATACATATAGGCATTTCAACATCCCCAACAGTTATTTTCTGGTCTGGGAATAAAGTCCCTTCCTGCAGCTTTTGAAACAGACCAGAGTTCCTGAAGATGCGAGCATCATGCACCTTTCCCGGCCATCCCACGTTGATGTTGGTGAAACGTCCCTTGTGATCCACCAGAGCTTGCAGCACTATCGAAAAGTACCCCTTGCGGTTTATGTACTCGGCGGCTTGGTGCTCCGGTGCCAAGATAGGGATATGGGTTCCATCTATAGCCCCACCACAGTTAGGGAATCCCATTGCAGCAAAGCCATCCACTATGACCTGCACATTTCCCAGGGTCACTACCCTTGATATCAGCAGATCTTTGATTGCGTGGGCTACTTGCATCACAGCAGCCCCCACAGTAGATTTGCCCACTCCAAATTGATTCCCAACTGACCGGTAGCTGTCTGGCGTTGCAAGCTTCCACAGGGCTATCGCCACTCGCTTCTCAACTGTGAGGGCTGCTCTCATCTTGGTATTCATGCGCTTCAGGGCAGGGGAAAGCAAGTCACAAAGTTCCATGAAAGTGCCCTTACGCATGCGAAAGTTTCGTAGCCACTGGGAATCGTCCCAGACCTGCAACACTATGCGGTCCCACCAGTCTGTGCTTGTTTCCCGAGCCCAGAATCGGCGTTCCACAGCATGAACCTGCCCCATTAGCACCATGATGCATGCATTGTCAGGGCCCATGCTTTCAGAGAAATCTGTGTCCATGTCCTGATCACTCACGGGACCGCGCTGACGTCGCCTCCTCGCCCGGTATCGCGTTGCCATGTTCTGGTGCTGCATATACTGCTGAATAATGCGTGTGGTGGTTAATGTGCTCCTAATTGCCAAAGTGAGCTGAGCGGGCTCCATGCTTGCCGTGGTATGGCGTCCGCACAGAAAAAAGGCGCGGAACGATTGTCTGCCGTTGCTCTGACGGAGGGAGGGGCGACTGACGACACGGCTTACAGGGTTGGCTTCAGGGAGCTAAAATCAACAAAGGGGGTGCCTGTACATCAAGGAGTATTTCAGGCAGGACTGCACGGAGGGTTCCAATAAGAAATGGTGCACCTATCGTTGTTATTGGAACAAGGAGGTTAGCCTGGCCTCTGATTGATACATGGCTAGATTTACCTCGCTGCACCTTCTCTGTGAGTGACTGCAGTGTGACCTAGAGGAATGAGTCCCCTAGACAGGGGAGGAGGCAAATGAGTACAAAACAAATCTGGTCTATTTCTTGTTTTGACCCACTCCATCTATCTTTTACATCTTTGGCTGGCAGCAGACGGTGCAGAAGGACTGCATGCCATCCACATCTCATGGCTGCTGGGCAGAAGATGGTACAGTACGACTGCTAGCCATCCCCATCTCTTGCCTGCCTGGCAGAAGATGGTGCAATACGACTGCTAGCAATCCTCATCTCTTGCCTGCCTGGCAGAAGATGGTACAGTACGACTGCTAGCAGTCCGTATCGCCTGCCCGCTCACCATAAGACGGTTCAATAGGACTGACTGCAGGACTAAAGAGAATGACCTGGTCAAGTCACTCCAAATTTAGTCCCTGCGCCCATGTCTGCCCAGGCGCTCCCAGCCGACGCGGCCAGGAGCACCTCGGACACGATGAGGACGACTACCAGTCGTATTGCACCGTCTGCTGCCAGAAGGCAAGGGGTTGCTGCTACTGTGCAGCAAAGCCGTACCGCGTCTGCCAGCACCCAGGAGACATAGGGTGACGGTTACCTGAGCAGGCTCCATGCTTGCCATGGTATGGCGTCTGCACAGGTAACTCAGGAAAAAAGGCGCGAAATGATTGTCTGCCCTTGCTTTCACGGGGGGAGGGAGGGAACGGGGGGCTGACGATATGTACCCAGAACCACCCGCGACAATGTTTTAGCCCCATCAGGCATTGGGATCTCAACCCAGAATTCCAATGGGCAGCGGAGACTGCGGGAACTGTGGGATAGCTACCCACAGTGCAACGCTCCGGAAGTCGACGCTTGCCTCGGTACTGTGGAAGCGCTCCGCCGAGTTAATGCACTTAATGCACTTAGAGCATTTTCTGTGGGGACACACACACTCGAATTTATAAAACCGATTTCTAAAAAACCGACTTCTATAAATTCGACCTTATTCCGTAGTGTAGACATACCCTTAGGAGTCTAAGTCACTTTTGAAAAATGGGGTTGAGGAGGTAAAGGCCCAGATTTAAGGTACTGAGACATTGCTGCAATCAGGGCTGCAACACTGAACTGAATTAGGAGTCTAAATTTCATTTTCAAAACAAATTTAGGCACTTAAGAGCCAAAATCCCATTGACAGTTGATGGGATTTAGATGAACAGTTTAGATCACGTTTGAAAACATGTTAGGCTCCTAAATGATTTAGGTGTTGCAACACTGAGTGCAGCAATGCTTAAATACCTTTAAAAATCTATACCTAAGTCACATAAGCACTCTTGAAAACTTTAGCCCTCATCCCATTGCTCAGGCAGTAGAGGCTCATGCATTTACATTGAGAGGTCCTAGGTGTAGTCCCTGCACATGACCCATTGAGGGGCTCCATTATAATGTGACCCTATAATGCTAATATATAGTGAACTGTTATGGTGAAATTTACTTCTGTTCAGAGGGCCACATAAGGGGCAAAACAGGGCTTCAGTGGGGTTTAAGTTTTGCATAGACCCTGGTTCTCTACACAGAGAGGAGCTGCATCCTCCACTCTGTTTTTCGTGACGTTACATATTCTGCCAATAATACAACCCAAATCCTACTACCTTCCTAGACCATAGTGGTTCTCAGATGCAGCAGAACCAACATTTCTATTGAATTCAACTGGCATTGTATCAGGCCAGCTGTGGGTTGGACATATGTTGCAAATTTCAGAATCACAAAAAGTGAGGATCTTGAATAATCTAGTAGTAACTGGTGTGTGTGTGTGCGGGGGGTTGGGGGGGGGTCTAAAGGATTAATATAAATACTTTAGCTAGCCTCTTAATTTTCCAGACAGGGTTATGCTCCAAACAGGTTATCAAGAAAGGTATACAGGTGTGATACTGCAACCCCTCAGTTCCACATATGGCATCCTTAGGGCTTCTTTATTTCTGCTGTTTCCTGAAAATACCTATTCAAATAATCAACCTTTATTATTTAAAGTATATACAGAAGAGTTTTGTGACCATATTTCAATCAACTTGATCTATTCTCATATCCTCTTTAGATACACAATGATGATCCTTTGTTTAGCAACTAAAGAAGCAAAGACTTTGTTTAGACCCCCGACATCCTGTAGATGTGTCTGCATAATTCTGAGATTCAGCACATTCCTCCACTTTGTTATAGATCCACTCATGTATTTTCCACAAAGAAAGCGTGTTAAAGCAACAAAGAACTGCTACTTGTGACTTGTTCATAGCACATCATGCTTGTCTCTTTTTTACTTTTGCTTGCTCTGTTTGTTCTTGTCTATTATTGATTCTTCCTTATTACATTAATATCAACTTAATTTTTGATTCTCCTCACTCCCATTTACAAACTAAAATTCCAGACAGGTGTTGGTGTTGGGAAGATTTAAGACATTACTTTAATATCATTCATCAGTACAATAACCTTTCATGGAAATTATGTATAATTACTCCATGGATGCTAAATGAGGGAATCACCAAACTGCAAGAGTGGCATTGTGCAAACTGTCAGACACATCGTGAACGATTGCCCAAACTATGCTCAACTGGAGATGTTGCAGCCATTCACATGGCTACCCCCGCTGCTCTAGACTGGACAAGAGACCTCATGATCCAACTATAGTCACACCCTTGCTTATGTTGTTCCATTATCACCATACAAAAGAAGAATAAACTTTTATAAGGATAAATGTAAAATATTGAACTAGACTATGGGTACTTGGAAGTTAATTGAGGGGGGAAAAAAAGAATCCTAATAAGGCAAGGTGCTTTTACCACCTGCATCTAGTAAAAATACTTGTAGTGCCAGAGGCAATCAAAATGACACAGGGACCCAAGGATTTTAATTAAAAATTCAAGAAAACCAATCTGTATCCTTTGGAAAAAGTAAAATTAAGAGAACGGCATCACTGATTTGTAAAAAAAAATTGTGATGAGAATAAACATAATAGATGCTGCAAGGTTATTTGAGTGTGAAAAACAACAAGGGAACATAAATTGCTATTCTAGTAAAGCAAAAGCAGGCACGCAATAATGTGGATTTATTTTGTAGTACATTTCAATTTGGCATAAAATACCTGGTTACAGTAATAGGATCAGTTTAAACAAACAGAACTATTTGGAGAAAAAATATCCAGCTGCTATAGCCTTGGGGATGTCATACTGTGAAAAGGTTTTATTTAAGGCTTCATCTGCCTCCAATATTCTGAAGCATTGCAGAGGAACTTATGTATGAGGCACCTTTCCTAAAAAGTGTTTTTGTAAAAAGTAGCATCATGGACTTCCATGTCTGTTGTGTCTCATTGATATAAGTAGCATTTTTTTACAGTTTGTAAGAGTAAAGGTGTTTGTTCCTGTCACTCTCACAAACTGACCTTGGGCTCTGATGAAATTCAGACTCGGTTCTTTCCTCCTCTCAAATAGTCACCGGGAATAAAGGAGGCTGTAGGCCAAATGATG